AGTGCTGTTTTCTACAATTATTTAAATATTTTTTTATTTAAAAAAATAATTTCTAATATTAAGCAATCTAGATTTTGAAGTGATTTTCGTTAAAATGGCATACTAATTTTTTCCAGGCTTGTTGGTAGGCCTTGTTCCAGGCTAGGTGGTACGAAATATATAAAGGAAGTTTGAGATCTCCTGCCGAAATCCCGTCTTGTTTTTTAATAAAAAAATAGAAAAATAACTTTGTCCTCCGTGACCTTCACATTCAGACGATCAGTCCACACTGCTGCAAGTTTAGCATTATTAAATTTGACCTCTTGCTAGCTATCAATCCGTATAAACGAAATCGTGTCCTGTTGAAAAACCGAAATAAATATCTTCAAAATAAAAGGTCTTCAAAAATTAATTACGCCTAATTAGCTCTTGATTCCTGAATTGTTCGATGAAAATTTTCCCTCAATTTCCATCCGTTCTGATAATATTCGAGGTAGACGCTTTTATTGGCTAATCCTGAAGTGTACAACAATGTTTTGTCGGAAAATCAAGGGCATCGCATAGAATCTTTCGAAATAAATTTTGAAATGGATACTTCTCCTTGTTAACAAAGAATTTTTCTATTACTTCTCACGCCCCTCAACCGTGCAGAGTACGGTGCAAGAAAATAGGTGTCAACAACAAAATCGAAACTTCATTTTTACTTCTCGCAGTTCTTGCATGCGGGCGACTCTGCGAACGACTTGGAACTTTTTGGGGGAAGATGGTGAGAGGTGTAAGGAGCTTGATGACATGTCACATGAACAAGGTGTATACGTGGAATCTTAAGTTACAATCGGAATGGCAAAACACACGCGTATTTAGAAAAATCGGTCGAAAGTATTTACTTAAAATTTGCGATAGTAGTAGTGGTTCATTTAATCTGATCGACGAACTTTGTTTTCCGTTCTGAGTTGTTAAGGTTATCGATAGACTTATCGATAAAGCTTATCGATAGACGTTGCGCCACACGAGAGAGGAAATAAAAAGATTTTTTTCATTTGCAGAAAAAAATTAGCAGTGAAGTTAGCTAAGAGAGATGAGACAAGAACACGCATTCCTAATAACTAGAACATTGTATGTAAAATAATTATAATTTAAGTAATTTGTGAAGTCTTATTCAACAAATATTGGGAAATATAACCGCCATATTGTCGAACGAATTCATAGTAGCTGTAGAATATCGATTAGAAAATATTAAAAATTGCTGACGAATTAAATAGTATAATTAAAGAAAGTATCAAAAGGAAAATATCAATTGTAAAGGTTTCATGGTTCATTAGAGTAATTTATTTGAAAAAGTACTTAAATTCTTGTGATTAATAGTAGATAATTAGTTTGTGAGATTATACGTATAAAAAGATTACAACTAAATAAATGTGGGTCATCGTAAACACATTAATCGAGTTACTAGCACCGCACCGCACAGCTTCCATCAAATGCTGCTACTCTCATTTTCTTTGAACTCTGAATTTACGAAAATTTTAAATTACGAAAATATACGAAAATGTATGTGGTCTTATAGTCCTAGTGCAATATCCTCGTTTTGATGTATTGTTTACAAATGCATCCTGTTTAATCCAAAGTTTAATGAAGGTTTCACTTGAATTTAATGAAGATATACTCTAAACGTCGTTTTTAAAAATGTTCAACAAATGGATCCCATAATCGATAAAGGAGGAAGTTCCCATTCTAACTGTGAGCGTGACAAGTACGAGCAGAAAGGGAACAGACTAACCTAAAAATAAGACGTTAATATTTTGAATATATAACAATGAAAGACAGTAAAAATGAGGCGGAAGAAGGAAACCAGAGATCTAAACAGAAGTAAACAAATAAAATTGTAAAAGCAAAACCGGAAACAATAAAAAAAACTATTAATTTTCTTCTACTTTAATTCAGAAAGAACATTGTCCCACATGATAATAAAGATTTGATTCTAACATGGAATTAATTGTCTCAGGGATTAATCCCTAAAATTTTCTGGGCTCATCCATAATGGTACGGCAGTCAAAATTAAACGGCGATGCACAAAATCAAGGCGATGTCTCTAACTAGATTTCAATTTCGTGCAAGTTCCCTAATGTTATTAAAATGTTCTTTAATTATTTTCTTATGAGCAAGTTTTATTTACTCCACATAGAACACAGAACATTATTTTAGGCAATAGACTAATATTAGTTAATCGGGTAAAGGGTATTCGTCCGAGATTTTTAATCAGATTTTGTTTGTAATGCAAGTTATTCCCAATTTTCGGGTCATTTTTTTATCAGAAATTCTTTTACGAAGGTAATTATTTTTTAGGGCCAAAAGGCAAGGAGATGGTGAGTTAGACTGAACGTATCACGTGACAAACAATTGTAAGGTAGACATTGTATTCCTTTGAATTGAATTAATGTCTCATTTTACGTGGCGCGACTCAGGCCTGCTCTTCAGTCTGACCACGCAAATTTCGCTACGCTCCATTCACCAACTATATCAGAGGAAGGAGGTATTTCTTGGGCGAGAAACAGGCGATTTTGAATTTAGCTCAGAGGCGTGATTTAGGTTGAGGATCTTTTACATGCAAGTAAATCTACTAACATGGGACAGTCGGCTTTACTTTCCCCCCGGAGGAAGGCGCACGAAGGATTTTTTTCGCCCTTAAAAATCCACGGCGTCAATCGGGTTTGCACCCGCCAACTTGTACAACAGTCCGAAACGCTAACAGTTACACCATCGCCGCGCGCATGTAGTGAATGTTTCAAAGGAGGTGGGCGTGTTTCTCCCTGGCAGGAGGTGCGGTCCGGCGCGACCTATTCTTCGGCTTATGGGGTATTTCGCCTCTCAAAGTCACTCTTCCCCGCAGTACACCGATCTCCATCGGTAAACGTCCCAAGTGGCCTTTTACTAGGATGTCCGGGTGATGCCGCGTCCTTGGCGAAGGTGCCGACGTTTCGGTCGCCATTCTGCGACCTCAGAGCGTTTTGCCCTGAGGAAGGTCGCAGAATGGCGACCGCAACGTCGGCACCTTCGCCATGGACGCGGCGTCACCC